GGGGCTGATTGATGTTGTCCCCGCCCCAGGTGACAGCTTCGCCGTGAGTGCTGCGTGGGCTCGGAAAGGCATCGACGAGTGGATGGGGAGGCAGCGCTGCCCCGGCGGCGGCTCCGGACCCCGACAGCTGCGGGCGGCGGGCAATGTTGGCAGAGGAACCCGGGTACGACCCCAGACGCCCCTCTACCAGCCTCGGAAATGGGTCTCCATACCGCCCTCCCCAACTTTTAGCGCCCTCTGGGCACAGCTTCTAAGTCCAAAAATCCCTTCTCAGTTGCTCCTGCTTCACCATCATGACCCTGTTAGCCCCACGCCCTGAGGAGTGTGAGGTGACACAGGTGGCAGTTTCCCGTCTGGGTGGGGGCAGAGGGCCACTAGGGCTAACGGTCCTAGGCGAGGAGGTGTGGCAAGGCCAGTCCATGGGGACGCTGGTCTGTGCTGAGGAGTGAGTGTGGGGGCCTGCCCTGACCACCTTGTTTTGGTGGCCAGCGTTCAAAGGTGGGGTTAGAGCTGGGGCTAGGGAGAGAGGGGTGACATCGAGGGCTGTCTGGGTGGAGGGCAGGACTGTGCTGGCCTCTGAATGTGTTCTAAGCGTCTGTGGCATTCATCAGTACTGTTTGGGAACCCCGGTAGAGCAGGCTGTGATCTGGGTGGCAGAGTTTCGGGGGGTCCTGAGACCCGGTAGACCCCCTATCTTGGCCCACAAGGGGAGAGAGTGCCGCATTCTGCTGTCGGCCGGGCCCACCCCTGAGCCTTCACCCAGCGGGTCCCCGAGGTTGGAGTTGTTCCTAGGGGAGCAGTCGATGTCACACGGGTGTGAGTGAGTCCAGCCCCAGCTCCTGGCCTGGGACTGGCGTTCACAGACGTCCTCTGAGCTCCGGAGCTCTGCACGGGCTTTCAGATGGTCTGCGTGGAACTCGAGCAAGCCCAGGATCAAAGGATGAATCAACTTTTTGATGTGACATTTAATTTTTTTTTTTTTAACTTAGAGGGGAACAGACTGAGTCTGAGGTCTGGTTGGTTCTTTGGTCTTGTCCATGAGCTGGGAGGGGCCAGTGGGTCCTGTAGGTGTGTGTGTGTGTGTGTGTGTGTGTGTGTGTCTGTGTCTGTGTGTGTGTGTCTGTGTGTGTACGCGCGCGCCCGTGGGGACCTGGGCTGGGTGCAGCTCCGTGGCAGGGGCCGGCGCTGGGAGGTGAGCCTGTGGATAAAGCCGACTCTTGTGCCTGTGTGAAGTAACCTCCGCGTCTGGCAGAGGCTCCGTGGCCTCTGCTTAGCTGGGGTTTTCTCTTCTGCACCCCTCGTCATCTGTTGACTGAGCTGGAACTGGAGCCGCTGTCCCCTCGGACAGGTCGGGACTTGGTGGGTAGGGGGCACTGCAGTTAGCGCCCCCGAGAAACCTACAAACGTCCCTGTCTCCTTCCCCCACCATTTCTAGTTTTTGATCTACTTATTTAGAGCCCAATGAAAATGACCCGATTTAGCCATATGAACAAATAAATGCATTTGTGGCTCAAGACAGAGGCCAAGTGAGTGGATTTCCATTAATCAAGTTTTGAGTTCTTTCAGCCTGTTTATTTTTACAAAGTATTCCTGCAGAATGCCTTTTTTTTCTTTTTTTTTTGCAGCTCCCCCCCCCGCCCTTTTTTTCCTTTTCGAAACTGCCAGGCAGCTTGCTCCGTGCTTCAGGGAAAAGTCAGACTACAGCGAGGGCTTACTTCAACTGACTTTTATCTTCAAAGCCGGAACAAATGTTACCCGCATGTTTTTGGTGGGTCTCCTTGGCCTCCAGTCCTGGAGGATGGGAGGGAGGAGGAAGGAAGGAGAGAAAAACAAAAGTCTGTCGTTTTTAATTAAATAGTAGTGTTTCCCAGCAAGAGGAATGTGAGCCAGTAAAAGTTGCCATGGGGGGAATCAGGGAGCGGGGGGAGGGGGCCCCGGCTTAAGTCGGTGGCTTTGGTGAAGTCACTCATGGAATTCTAGCGGAGGACAGCATGGGATGGTGCTCCCCCCCTCCCTTCCTCACCCCCTGTCTCAGAGAAAACGCCGAGGGGCCATTCATGTTTGTTCAAAGCACTTTTGAAGCTGCGAGACACAGAGCCATCCGCCTGACGTGTTGGGTGGTGGAGGGTGGGCCCTGCCATCCGAGATATTCAGGGGAGGGAACCCCGCTTTCCTGAGAGTTGTGTTTGGTGACTGGGACCCGGACACCTGGGAGTCTGGTCTGCAGAGGTGGGAGCGGCAAGTGCCCCCTGGGAGAGGTCAGCTGAGCCCAAGGTGGGGGCCCGTAGGGCGATTTCAGGTGGTACTTGAAGGAGTATTTTTAATCTTAATAGTTAAGTTTTTCTTTCACCAGAAGAAAAATGACTGGGACATGAAACCCATGATTTCGTGGATTTTACTGCTTAGGATAAAGCTAAGTTGAAAGCGATCATCTAAAGTTGATTCCGAGAAAAATAGTTAAGTGCAAGTCAACAATTAAGGTCGAAATGGTGACTGGGAACAGAATGCCCGATGCTTGGGAAACGCCGAGATCCTGAACAGAACTGCGGCGGGCACCCCTCGGTCTAGTCTGATTCCCAGGGTCCCCAGCAGTGCGGACGGGGTGGCTGTAGGCTTTCCCGTTATATCATCGGGATATGCAAGGGTGTGGGCTCCACAGCCTGCTGCATTCCAAGGGCTGGCAGATGTTCCCCCACCAGCCCCAGGCCTGCTGTGTGCGTGGCCTCTGTCTCTACTCCTTCACTGGCCTGTCACCAGAGGGGCTGGGGACACACTAGTGACTTCTCTGACCAGCATTATTATTATTGCAATGATAACTATTATTCATTAAGGGCCTGTGTGTGTCAAGCACTTTGCGTACATTATCTTAATCCTCTTCGTAACCCCGTAAAGTTGCCAGCCAGCTGGTGGGGACTCTGTTTTCCTCTCTTTCTGGAGCGCTCCCTAGGACAACGGAAGCCACGTGTGCTAAAGCCCTGTGCCGGACGTATGCTCAGCCCGGAGGGCGCCACACTTACTACTTCCGGGAGAGCTGGCAGCCTACCAGCTGAGAGTGCTTCGGGGTGAGGCAGGTTTTGGGGACCCTCGTCTTCCTTAACGAGGTATGAATAGCTAGATAAATGTTCAGGTTGGGCTCAAGTCACGTACAAGGTCCTGGGGTGTCAGAGGGTGACCTCGCTGGCACTAACCTAAGCCTGTCCTCCCGAACGCAAAAATAAATGAGGTCAGCTGTGTCGCGAGAGCGCGTCACCTTGTACGAGCCACTTTACCTCTGTGGACCTTAATGAGCTCATCTGAGAAATGGGCGTGATGCCGTTCTCTTCCCTGGCAGGGTTATGGCAGGTAACTCTTCAAAACAAGTAGAATGAGGCAGAGGCTCCCCCTGCCCCGTCCACCAGAGACTCACTTGGAGGGACACGGGCTAAGGCCAGGGCTTCTGCCGTTTTGTGGGTTCACGGTGAACTCCAAAGATATATGAACTCAGTGTGCACCTGCTACGAGAGGAAGACAATGGGGCGAACAGTCGATACGCCAGACAGCAACGTGCCCAACAATTAGAAATTACGACAAGCAGAATAATGTCAAGGAGGCGGAGGGCACTGAGGCTGGGAACGCGAGGCAGCAACAGGCAGTTTCCAAAGAAAACCAGCTGGACATACTGGCTCTAGAAGACATAATGGGTGAAATCGGAAAGCTTTTCAGACGGATGGAGTAACGGACACAGGGGTGTCGATCACGTGGCGCTTGGAGAAGCAGGATCTGTGTGCCGCGTGCACGCTCGTGCGGCGTGTGCACCGCCGGGTTTGAGCCAGCTGCCCCCCACCCCCCGATGTGGCCCCTTTGTTCTTTCATAGCAGAGCCGCCCGAGGAGAGCCGGGTGCAGGTGGGCCCGCCCCCGGATCAAAGGTGGCTGCCAGGCGGGTAGGTCATTTGATGAGGGGACACCTAGTGCAGTTTGATATTTGGGGAGGATTGGGAGGGCGCGGGCCCTGTTGGAGCCCTCGGGCACGCATGGAGCTGGGGGACGAGGTCGGAGGCTGGCCTGGCTGCTGCCCGAATGCCGGATTCCCTGGGAAATTACCTTCGAATGATACCAATTGGCACAATTAAAAGGCCCCATGTCTTCACCATATGGAAAGTGTTAGGGCCCCTTACGTGATTTCAGAGCTATGTGTCGGGAGGTGGACTTGACATTTGGAGTAAAGCATAAATTAAATATTTGCTATTTCAGAATTAAAAGACAATTTGCTTTGAGGCTAGTGGAGCCATTTGGGTCCCCTCTGCCCATGGCACCCAGGCCGGCGTCACAGCCCCACCTGGGAGCTTTCTTTATCCCTGAGGAATAGGAAAGAGAGACGGGGGAGCTCGAGCTGGGCCAAGTGCCAGGTGGTTTCCGACTGGTCTGCGTCCCTCGGGACGGGCGGGCAAGGCTGTCATGTGCTGAGTGCTGCAGTGCCTCTGTGACGTGCGTGGTGTCTGGTAGAGGCTTCGAGGAGTGTCGCGTCCTCCCTGTGGAACGTTTCTTCTTTGAGAAGAAGGTTGGTTCCTTGAGTCAGGCCGTGTGCGTGTTTTAGCCTCTCGAACTCGGGAGCAGGCCCTCTGCATTCCCGTTTGCACAAACTGTAATGAACCCCAGGAGAAGCTGGGCCAGGAAACGGCCACGGTGTGTCCCACGTCCAGGAACCTGCGAGAGGTGTCATCCCCTCTCCCAGTGGGGAAGTCGGAAGTGAGGAGAGAAGGTAGGCGATAGGTGGACAGAGAGCATATCAGGACGCTCAGGCACCACGCTCAGGGACCACACTGTCCCCCTGAGGGCTGAAAACAGCAAGGCTGGACCGTCAGCAATGAGAGAATCACTTTCCCAGGAACGCATCTTCCCTGTGGTGGGCCCAGGACACATAGTGGGCACTCGTGACGTAGTCACTAAATGAGTGAGCGAAGGAACGAATGAATGAATGAATAGAAAATAGATTGGGATCATCACCCCTGCCTCCTCCCCAGATCCTCCTCCCAGCCAAATGGAATCAGAAGCAGGAATAAATGCGAGAGTGAATTAGGCCTTTTCTTTGAGGCGCTCAGATATTGACTGTGATCAGTAATGATCGTTATCAATTATTGATTCCCTAACTGTGCCAGACATGGAGGATACAGTGGCAAATAAAA